TAAATGTCCTAATTCAGATGGGCTACCCGTTTTTTTTTTTTTTTTGGTATATCAAAAAGTGTATATTTTTTAAATCTGATTGTTGGTACATTTTACCAGTTTTTACCATACTTTCAAAACAAAAATTAAAATAGGAAAAATATGCAATATGATAATAATTGAAGACAAAATGTGTTTTACTGAGAAAAAACAAGATTTGGTTTTTAAAAAGCCTTTTTCCAAAAGGTACATCTGGAAAAAGGGGGGTCGTCTTATAATCAGGGTCGTCTTATATTCGGGCCAATACGGTAAATGTTTATATTAAAAAAAAACAATTGAAGTAGAAATATTATTATGTAATTGTAATAATTGTAACTTTATTATTTTAAAAACTTCATTAAGTGTAATTTTAACAGTTGTACTACAAATCAGTCAATTTTACCCTTAAATATTATAGTAATGTAGTACCAACTGACTCTCATCTCATGTATATTTTACAGCATTAGTTGAGTTATTTTTTTCCTTGAGAAAATTTGGCATGTTCTGTCCCTGATATGTATCCAAAATAATCGGAATCGGTAATCGAATCGAATCGCAAGCTTGTGAATGAGAATCGAATCGAATCGTGAAATTTGTGTCAAAACCCAGCACTAGTACTTTTATATTGAAGATATTTATGAGGACAATATATGAGGACACAGTTTTGTGGGCCCAAAAACATAAATACATAAACTAACTAATAAAACCTATAAACACTGCATTGAAAACAATGACAAACTATTTTGCTAGACAAGTAAACAAAGAAAATGTACAAAGACATTCGTCATTTTGCAAAGAATTTTGCAAAAAAACTATATATGATATGAATTAGTGAATCTAATTTCTGAATGAACCAATTCACTGAATCAAACCGTTCAAACCAAGTTGCAACAGTATTGACTTTTAACTAACTTTGTTAGCAAGACTTTCTTTAAATCACTGGTCAAATAAAAGAGAAAACAGACAGTTTATGCTAATTTTGGCCAGAAAACCAATTGAGAATACAGGTCACTGCATGGACTGACACATTTCAGAAATATGCACGATATTGAGTTTGCATAGTTGGAAGTGTCTGTGTTCATGTACTTGCGACAGTAAATCACAATACAGCACGACACAAAAATGTTTCGCAATGCTTGCTAGATTTCTACTTGACTAAAATACTAGCATCTAAAAGCGTTATCTTGAAACCAGCTGAACTAGTGTTATAATATTTTAAAAAGTTATATTTTGCAATTTTAGTACTTTTGACTTATACTGAATATTGCTTGTGGCGCACGGCTCATGTAGAGAGGTCACATGGATACACATACAAACAGTATGACAAAACACAGGATTCGCTGGTCTGAAGGTCAGCGGTGTGAGCGGCTTCACGGGTCAGTGTGATCTCTTTATGGCTGCGTCAGGTGCCAGCATCCCAAACCCTCAGACCGGGACTCCCTGGCGCCAACAGAGCTCTGGATGTCAGAGTCGGCAAGCGTTTGATTTAATCACATGTGTTTTGATCTACACCTCAACCAAAGCACAGGATCAAATAGGACTTGAGGTGCAGGATTTACTACAAACATGATCAAAACAATACAGATACTTCCTAAACTACATTTCTAAGAACACAATTCTTCAAGAAACCAACTCAATTGTCACCAAGACATTTTTTTTGGACATGAACCATGGTAATACCACAGTATACAGTACTTTGAAGTAATACCACAGTATTTTGAAAAGAGTGGTAAAAAGAGTGGTTTTATAATTTTTATCTTTATTTCTTTCAGTCATGGTCAGTAAACAAAATACCATATGAAAGAAATATATAAACAAAATATACATATATTGTAAACAAAATACCATATAAAAGCTAAATATAAACTCAAATAACCCACAGTTCAAATACCAAGAACTTTATGACTTTCCAACTGAAATGAAAACACATTAAAAGATGGATTTCCTATAATACAATAAGATCTGGAATGCATTACGAAAGCCAAGACTTATGCAAATTACAAACTCCATGCATGCTAACACACTGCATAACAGATCGTGTGTGTGTGTGTGTGTGTGTGTTATACACACATTGTACTACAGTTCAAACTAATGAGAGCACGTCACGCATCAAGGGCTTCCAAATAGATATGTTAACAAGAGTTATGGAAGTCAGGACTGATGTTTCAATCTCAAATCTATCAATCTCACAGGTCCAGCAAGGGTAACTGCTATTAGCTTTAAAAATAAAAATATTTTCCATTTTAAATGTCATGAGGGATTAATAATAGAATGTATTTAACACAACTATCACCTTCAAATTAATTTTCTCATTATTATACCAAATCTGTGTTTCTTAATGTCCTCTCACTACATCTAAAACAGTGTGTCCACAGAGAAGGGTTCAATCATTCATATGCAATAAAATGGATAAAAATGTTTTTTTAATGATGAAAAAGAGCTTGTTTTATCAAAAGCAACACTTAATAATATCTCATATCAAAGCAAGGTTGTTATTTAATGACACATGCATGTTTAATACTATTTTAAAGTTGCGTCCCCACTTTTTGTCAACACCGTCAGACATTCAATAAAATGTAATAAAATCAGGGAATATCAGGGGCAGCTGTCACTCTAAAGGACCCCCTTGCCACAGTTCACCTCTGCAGGGTACAGCAGTGTCTGACAGGCTCTGCTAAGTTTTAGTTTTAGAATATTTTAAATCCTAATGTTAATATTTCCTGTCACAGCCATGATATGTCAACACCATCTTCCAATTTCTGAGGAAAATATTTGAAATATTTAGGGGAGGTTGTATCAAAGCATAGCTCAGTAGCTTAGTACATATAAGATACATAAATGTGGTTTCATTTGTCTGAGTACAAGGTTTTATTCAATTTTGCACCCTGTTTTGTTCCACTTCTCAAGAATGACTGAGTAACAACATCCGTGACGGCCACGTGCTGCAAGCTGGCTACGATCTGGGGCTCTTTGTCAAAAACAAATCATACTTTTTTGTCTGGAAATGTACTTTTTCAGTAGCTACTGACAGCTGGTTATCTAATGTACTGCTAATCAGCAGACAACTGCCTATAAAATAGCCATTTATGCTAAGGATTCCTAAAACATTTAATACCGATTCGTGTAAAACGTTAACAAAATCTTTAATCTTTCCTCTAGATAGAATAAGTAAACAAAGGTGAAAACTGTGATTCATTTTTCTTCAACTGTATTCTACATATTTTTCTCAGAGGATTGTTCCTACACATAAAATCATGTTGAATTTAACCCTACATAAATAAGCATAATTAGTTGCTAATGAAGAACCCATTGCTCTCCTATGAATCTGTAATTAGAACGTCTTGTAGAAAATACTAAATAATTCTTACACCATGTCTACACCAGATAAAAATAGATCTCACCGATTATAATAAGCAGGGCTGTCTACACTGAAAATGTTTCTCTTGCCACTTTACTGTCCTAGTCCATATGAAATAAATTGCATTTATTTACTAATACAAATATATTTTTCATATCAATTTCATTTGCGCATTTAAACAACTTATTACTGTTAAATCAAAGCCACATTTAGATGTTTCTGTTCTCTTGTCTACTAATTTAAATTTTTGGTTTCTGATCGTATGTACTGTATATACAGTTTGGTAAATTTGACCTTTTTGTGTAAAATACTGCATTTCGTTCCATAACAACATAGTAAAAGTTAATTTTAACATTACTGGATTTTAGTTGATAAAATGAAATATAAGATTAATTTTCAATGGATTTTTCTTCATTTTACTGTCGCTGAAGTAAAATTTTTGGTTTCTGATCGTATGTACTGTATATACAGTTTGGTAAATTTGACCTTTTTGTGTAAAATACTGCATTTCGTTCCATAACAACATAGTAAAAGTTAATTTTAACATTACTGGATTTTAGTTGATAAAATTAAATATAAGATTAATTTTCAATGGATTTTTCTTCATTTTACTGTCGCTGAAGTGTGGCTTATTGGCAACACTAGTAGGCACAGCAGTACTGAGTAAAAATGACATAAAAACAAATATAAAAATCAAAGGATTCTGGATTATCAATATTTATTAATCAATAAATATGTGCAACAGTGGCACAGGTACACTACCATTCAAAAGTTCAGAGTTGTTTAAGTTTTATATAAATGTTTTTAAAAGAAGTAAATTACACTCACCATTGCTGAATTTATTTGATCAAAAATACAGTAAAAACAGCAATAATGTGTAAAAAAGTATTACCATTTTAAACAACTGTTTTCAATTTGAATATATTTTAAAATAAATTAATTCCTGTGATGCAAAGCTGAATTTCCAGCATCATTACTTCAGTCTTCAGTGTCACATGATCCTTCAGAAATCAATCTAATAGGCTGATTTGCTGCACAAAAAAAAAGCGTTTTATTATTATCAATGTTGAAAACAGTTGTGCAGCTTAATATTTTTGTGAAAACCATTAATTCCTCCCCTCCCCCTGGATTTCTGGATCAATAGAAAATTCATTAGAAAAGAACAGCATCTATTTGAAATCTTTTCTAGCAAAATCTTTACTTTAACATTTAATGTGCCCTTGCTGAACAAAAGTATTGATCCTTGAAAAAACAAAATATCTTGCTGACCACAAACTTTTGAATGGCACTGTACAATGACTAGATAAGCACATTTTGTTTTAGAAGAGAAATACTTCCATACATCCAAAACCAAAGTTAAAAGGTTGAGGAAAACCAGCATAAAAAAATCTCACAAAATGACTTGGAGTACCCAGAATTCCTCACTGAACAGAAACACACACAGCCCACTGAACACCTTCTGTTATTGTGACGGATGCCGTAAGGAGAAACTCAGCCTCTCCTGACCATTAGCTTCAGTCACTAAAACCTGTCACCACCACTTCACACATCGCTAAACCCTGTGCATGTGTGAGGGTCAGCTGTGATGCAAGGGGTTAAACGCTGGTTAATCGCAGCTCTTTACCTAACCAGTCATTAAACTTCTTGACCTCCGAGGGTAGGCCCAGCTCGGTGAAGTCCCCCGTGTGCAGCAGAACATCCCCGTAAGGCATCTGGATACCATCTGTCCGTGAGTGTGTGTCCGACACACACACAAAACGCGTGTGGCCACTCGGCTTGGGACTGTCGTACGAGATGGGGTCCACCCTGAGAGCGAGAGTAAGTGACAGAGAGACAGATGGAGGGAGAGAAAGAGGGTATTTTATGAGCATGAAAATCAGCAGGAATAACTGTACACAATTGCTAGCCTGCTAGTTACATGAGCTCAGTGACGTGCTTCAAATCAGTCTGTCATTGCTATGCTCCTAACACGACAGAACAAACCAAAAAATTTTATAAAATGAGTGAATGAAGTAATCACTGTAGTGGCAAAAGTTTTATGTATAACAGATCCATGTGTGACAGAAACATTAAGGAACTGGATTCATTGAATAATAGGTGTTGGAACTGAACCATATTTCATATCATACACTAGCATTTTAAAGTCTGGGATTGGTAAGATTTTGTAATGTTTTTGAAGGAAGTCTCTACTGCTCACCAAGGCTGCATTTACATTAAAACAGTAATATTATGAAATATTATTAGAATTTTTATTTAATAATTGAAATTATTTTCTATTTTAATTTATGATATCCTTCAGAAATCATTCTAATATGCTGATTTGCTGCTCAAGAAACATTTCTTATCATTATCACTGCTGACAATAGTTGTGCTGCATATTTTTGTAGAAATCTTTTTCTTCAGGATTCGATGAACAGAAAGTTCCAAAGAAGAGAATTTATTAAACATTTGAAATATCCATATTGTCATTTTGATCAATTTTATGCATCCTTGCTGAATATAAGTATTATTTTTCTCAAAAAACAACAACAACAACTTGCCGACCTCAAACTTTTGACTAATAGTTTATAAATTATAGCCTAAATATTCTTGTATTAATTATCAATATCTAAATGAATATAGAAACAAACATAAATTATATTCTTATAATCTGGAATACAATCTTTATCAATTTTGTTTACGTCCATAAGTATGTAGGTAGGCAGACAAATAGAGCAATGAATATGATAAATGATAAACAGACAGATGGATATATAGATTTTTTGGAATTGGAATGCAAAAAAAAAACTGTTGTTGCAGAAACATTTTCTCATTTGCATTCACAGCTTTTGTGGAAAAGTGAAAACTAGAGCAGAATCTTTTGTTGCAGAAGCTCTGAAAATGGAAACAGTCTCACATTTGATGTCTATTTAAGAGAATCACTCTCTTCTTGTCTGAACATCCTTTTATTTATTTTCCCAAAGATAGTTTGGGGGGAGAGGTGGGGGGAGGACGGGGGTGGAAGAAATTCTCCTCTATAACTCAAAAGGAATGAAAAAAGGATCTTGGCTGTAATTGAAGTCAGAAACGTGCAATAAGCCGCAATTTCCCCCCCACTATTATTTCATTACTAAAAGGGTTGTCAGTCGACAAAAAGCCCTCGGCTCTCTAATTAACACTTACATCTCCTGTCCGACTAAAAATATAAAGGACCTTAGGAAGGGAGGTGGCACACTCTCTCCGTCTCTCTCTCTCTCTCTCACACACACACACACACACACACACACACAATTCCATTAAGGAAAACAAGTATGTTAAGCAGTTGTACATAAAAGAGAATAGACTCAAATGAAAGAAAATAAAATTTTGCGCTGGATGGAAAATACAGAGTCGACAAAAAAGAAGACCGATAGAAAAAGAAGAAATATACAGAGACATATATAAGGAAAAACAAACACAATAAAGTAAAACGAAAGAATGAAGAAAAAGAAGGAAAGAAAAAGCTGCCCATTTTCCATCGTTACTGGCTCGTGCATATGTCTGATTACATTTATATGACCGAGTCATATCTGAAATGAACCACCTGCACAGAAAATTGTGACACTTTAAAAAGGAGAGAGAGAAACAGGCGGACAGAAAATAATATTTGTTATTGATCACAATGCAGTAAATAAAAGCAGGCCCGCGCACTCACACACACACACAAGTATTGATTAAATGTGGTCTGTGGTGGTCAGGCCAGCCACGGATATATAAAAGACTCGACAGATCTAGTTATGGAAGCGGCTGGCGTGCTGAACTCTGTGGCCTACAGACACACACACACACACACACGTTGTTTTCCTTGCATTTTTGTGTAATCGTGTTTTTGCAATTATCTGAATTTTTTTTTTTAAATAAATAAAAATGATCCTGGAATGAAAAATAATAACCTGTTTTAATAATAAAAAAGTCCTGAAATCAGGTTGATGCATTAATATTGAAAATATCACAAATAATAACATCACAAATATGATGGATAGATGTATGATAAAAATGGTATATTCATGTAATTTTTGAAACAACAATTATACTTACTGGAATAGTTTTTATTGATTTAACCTCACAAATATGACAACATCACAAATATGATAGACTGATGGACAGACAGATAGGACGTTATATCGGTCAAATCTAAAACTTTATATTAAATAAAGTTCTAAAAAAATATTACAGCCATTAAAAGACGACATGCAATTTCTTCATAGAAGGATAAATCCGAGCTCTGCACAGACTACAAGGAAATATTTCACATTTCTCTCCTGCCATGGAAAGATTCCTTCTTTAATGTAGGAATTTGGTGAGAAATGACCGAGAGAAGAGTGACCGAGAGAAGAGCCAGAGTGAGAGATTGAACCCTCTGTGTACAGTATGAATATTTCAGAGGGCCGTGTTTTGTAGATGTGGGGCACAGGGCTGTGAAAAGAGTGCCCTGCAGTCAAGCCTTTGATGCGGATAGCACTGCCACAGCACTGATCTGCGGCAGGAAATTGACTTTTCAGGCTTATCTGCCTCACTCAGGGCCACGTGTGTGTGTGTGTGTGTGAGACAAGCAGGGGCAGGAAGCTCCATGAACCAGGGCCAAAGAATAAAAATGATAATGATAATCATCAAGAGGAGCCAAATATTTACTGGCTTTTCCACTCATGCGGCTCAGCTTGTACTGCTATTGGTGAAGAAACATCAAGCGGTACGTGCAGTCCACCACCTTCCCTCATACATAGCAATGAAATCCATTTCAGACAGAGAGACACAGCGTTTCTATCTTATCACGAACTGATTTGCTGAAATCAAAACGGGGACGGTAATAGACGAGCGCCAACCAACGAGAGCTGTTCGCACATTAGCTCTGCCCACTGCCAAGAAACCGGCATATCTTCAGCTTGTTCTTAAAAGCTGAATAATTCTAAATTAACTCTGTTATTTTGACAGGAAAATACAACAAAGAATATGGTTTACCTGTAGCACGTCGATTCAGCGTGGTATGCAAGACTCTCACTCTCTCTCTTTGCATGTGTGAGAAACACAGCGCAATCAGTAAAGCGTCGGTGAGTCGTGCGCCTTCACACTAGTTTACGGTACGTCAAATACAGGTGCGCTGCGTGCTACATACTGCGCATCCATTGAGTACATGACATGATCCATTGAGCGCATCCAAATAGTACAGATCGCTTGACGGAGGCGAAACTCTCAAGCGCTCAGTAAGCGTGTTTATCGAGTGAAAATCTGTGTTGAACACCGCTCACACACATACTGGCGTGTAAAATCTAAGAATTTATTAGCCAATGGCTAATGTTAGACATTATTTAGTTGCCCAGAGTAAGATTTAGTCGCATATGCGAGTGATTTACTCACAATATAGAGGGTTGTTATTAGACAGATTTCTGTCCGTATTAGACAGAACTGTTAACGACAACAGCGAACAAGAGGGAGAATGCTGTCAGCGCCATCAAAATAAAAGCCCCGCCTCGAACGCATCGGCCAAACACGAAAACTTATCGGCCGATGCCGATATTTAAAAAATGCCAAATATCGGCCGATATATCGGCCTTGGCGATATATCGGTCGACCACTAATAACTACCATTCAAAACTTTGGGGTCAGTAAGATTTTTTAAAGAAAGAAATTAATAGCCTACTTTTATTCAGGAAGATTGCATTAAATTGATCAAAAATGACATTTGTAATAGTTAAAAAAATATTTATTTTTCAAATAAAAGCTGTATTAGCATAACAAATCAGCATACTGGAATGATTTCTGAAGGATCATGTGACACTGGAGTAATGATGCTGAAAATTCAGCTTTGCCACCACAGGAATAAATTAGATTTCAAAATGTATTCAAATGACAAAACTGTTATTTTACATTGTAATATTATTTCACAATATTACAGTTTTTACTGATCAATAAATACGCCTTAGTGAGCTAAGCACACTATCTGTGATTCAGAATGCTTTAACACTGCAGACTTTAGAGCTGAAACAGTTAATCCTGAAGTGGCTGTTATAAAACAGATTCCTTCAATCTTACAGAACCAATTGAAGGAAAAGTTACAGAGCATGCAATGCAGTCCACCGTGACATCTAAAGCAGAGTATGAGGCCAATCTAATCTTAACGAATAATCTATTCAGAACTAGCAAGTCAGACGTCCTTTATCTGCGACTGAAGTGGAACATTTAAGCCAATCGATTTAACAGGATCTTCACTTCTCTCTGTCCCGGCCACAGTGCCGTTTGTCTGGAAGGGAAGTGCACGGTCGCCTGTACTGAAAAAAAAACAAAAAACAAAAAAAAAACTTCAAACGTACAGGCCTGTCCCAGACCTGCCCAATGTCAATTGTCACTTGACCCCCGTGACCTTGTGCAGTGGCTGCCTCGGCGGGCAGAAGCTGTGTGAGTTTAATCAAGGGTTCTCTCATTTCAAAGGCTTCGGGAAGTCCTGTGTAACCCTCCCACACTCATACACACACACACACACACACACACACAAGCTAAAACAGATCCCCCTGAAAGAAAGAGTTCAGGCCTTTCGGAGGAACCGCTGGAACGAGAGAATTCTGATTTAATTCTGCGGGACATCTGCATTACGGAGGCCGGCTAGAGTGCTTACTGCAATTACAGTCCACGCAAAGCCCCACTAGTTCCAATATTTTCAATCCCATGCACTTCCTTTACACGCATCGCATGCGGATGCGCACACGAACGTACGTACTGCACTCAATTCCTGTCACTCATGTGCTTTACAAAAGACGACGTAAATGTGCCGAACATAAATTTCTAAA